CTTAATTCAATAATTCCTTTGAGCTTTGGGAACAAATTGGAAAAATAAAAAAAATCTAACAAATAATTTGAAAAAAATACTTAAATACTTAACAAAATACAAAATGGACAACAAATTGGAAAAATAGGAATGAATAATTTATTAGTAAATTATTTCTAAATAAAGAAATAATTTAGTAAAATAAATAAATAAATGTTTATTGAAATCTATCTTTTAATGTCACATCTCTTTTATTCTACTGATTTATTTTATTAAATAAATAATGTTTAGATAATGATAATAAAATAAGTAAATGAATAAATAAAAATTGAGATAGAGAATAGGAAAGAGAGAGAGAGATGAAAAAGAAGAGGAATAACATTTTATTTATAGGATGTCATAATCGTAAATAATTGTATGTGGCTATAACTTTATGCCATTGAGTCAATTATATAAGGAGATTTGTCTTATATGTGGCATTATTATAATTTTTGAATATTATAGAGGTAATTATAAGGAGGTTTGGTTTGTCTAATACGTGTTCTTATAATTTTCTAGAGAAAGAGAGGTGGGAGAAAAAAGAAAATAAAGAAGAAAAGAGAGAGAGAGACATGTGTCAATCATTTAGAGAACAAAAAAATATAAAATGTCAACCTCTCAATAATGCCACATACACCTTCCCAATGCTTTAAGTATAAACTAGAATAGTACCCAACCTCATGTAGTTTGGTTTTATACTTTGTCCTATCACATCAGCTCTTAACATCACTTAAATGGAGTTTAGGTTTCGTCCTGACTGAATCTTCCTAACACCCATCTCACAGCATGTTGTAGGCTTGTAGCTGGACATCGTGGGAACCACTCCCATGCTTGTATGTTTTCATTCATGGGAGGTGGTCCTAACACCCATCTCACAGCAAGTCACAACTGCACATGAGGAACCCTTCCCATACTTATATTTTTTCATTTATGGGGAGATGGTTCGAAATGTACCGCTGCAAGTGCTATGAGGTGGAATAAGGCTGAGGGAGGTGATGTTGCATCCATGCATACATGTTCTCATTCATAATACTCTCTTAATGCACCGTTACTTTGTCCTCCTATCTATTAAAAAGAAAAGGCAAAAAAATTGAAGGAATTATGCCAACTTGAATCTGATTCCCAACTGGCCATTGCAGCCGCACATTGGGAACATCTTTTCATTAATGAAAAGAAAAAAGTTCCTACTGTATGGCTGCAATAGGATGATCTCTTGCCAATAAAACATGTTTTAACACCCTATCGAGTTGTTCCGACACTATCGCACATGTCACTATGAAACTAGGGCCCATCATAAAAGTTGTACCCATCATGTATGAGATGTATGGTGTTAGATGATGTTTGCTAGGGTTTTGGAACGTACTTGTTGGGAAAGTGTTGGGAGTGTTTTGTTGGTAGTTTGGGCTCAGGTTGGATTAGGGCTGACCTCAATCCTACTAAATCCATCCAGACTTAGGGGTGCTCATGGTTCGGTTAATCGAATCGTAGGCTAATTTTTGAAACCAAACCGGGGTTACTAGTTTTTGGAAAACCAATAATTGAAACCGAACCGAAGTCGATCGGTTAATCGGTCAACCGGTTTAGTTAATCGTCGGTTCGATTCATCGGTTTTTTATTATTTATAATATTTATTATAAAAAATATATAAATATATAATAAAACACTAGAAATATATATACTATTATATTTTAAATAATAAATAATATATTATATATTATAAAAATATATATTTATATATATAATGCATATTTATTAATTTATAATATATAAAAAATATAAAATATAATATATATAAATATATATATACTGGTCGATTCGATTAACCACCAGTTTTCTATTTTGATTAACCGAAACTGAATTGATACCTTCGGATTTTTAAAATAATGAACCGAAACCAAACCGATCGATTTGGTTAACTGAATTTTCAATTTAGTTTCAATTGATTTGGTATTGGCACAATAAATCATGTGGTGACTACAACGATAGGCATCAATTCAAGCTTGTATTGACTGCTTTTTTATTTTTTTTGCTTCACCCTAAAATTCTATTTTAATATAGATAGGTGTACGCTTGAAGATTGGATTTGCTCCCAACAAAAAACCATTCCAACATGAAATATGTCCGCACATCTCACATGGTAAGTCTCGGTATAAAGATGAGATGTATGGATACAAATCATGTTAGAAGTATATTCGAACATTTATTGTTGAAACCGATCCCAATTTGTGTGCGGTTTTTTTATTTCAACCCGTATGCTTGTCCACCATTTAGTATTTCTTTGGTTCTATAAGCATTGGTGTTTATTGCATATGAGACTATTGTTTGGTTTCACCGTTTATCAAATAATATTAGAAATCGAAATGCTTTGATTTACATGCATAGGACATTTGGGGAAACGTCAAATTCATGTTTCCACCAATGTTTGGGCATTTCTTGAAATGAAATACTGATGTAGTACACTTTATTTGAAGTGGAAAGCAACTTTGTGGGATGTTACTTGAAATGTCCATAAAACATTCAACCAAATAGAAAAAGCAAAAAACATTTATTGTAGCATTCTTTATATACATTTATCTAAAAAGCCGAACTCGAACTCGAACTTGAATCTAATAATTTATCAATAAGCCGAGCTCGAATAAATAGATATTCAACATTTTAAAATAAAAAAAAAAAAATAAAACACAAAAGAAACACTGTTATCGATATTTAGAATCTTGTCTTAGGAAACTCCCACGTAACCAAACATACGCTAAATTGGCGTGGATTAAAATGATATTGGAAGCGACGGTTTTCCCAACTCTATGTGCTTGCCCACCGATTAATTTCCATGGACGGAGCCCGTTTGATTGGGCCTTTGATATAGTTGATTGACACCTCATCAATCATTTTAAAATAATAAAGCATTGGCAATACAAATTTTTAATAATCGAATCAAATTTAGATACAAGTTACCAATAATCGAATTGGATTCAAATTTTGTTGATACAGCCCTTATCGGATTTGGTATACAGATTTGGCTCAACGCAAATTGAATGCAATATAGCTCCAACCTGATTTAACCAACTAAATAAAGAGGGGTATCACATCTGATCCCGGGATCTGTTACTCACAAATGGGCCTTTCATAGATACATTCACTGTGCATTGGGAATATTTCCTGTGAATAATAACTAATAAGTATGGAAGATCTTTCCAATGCATGGTAGGATGTGCATGTGAGGCGCCTGTGAGGCATTAGGGCACGAGGTGTGAGGAGCAGATCCTGTGTCCATCTGATCCCACCCTTCCTATATACTGTACACCTATGTTCAGTAGAGCAACAACCACTACATGTCATCTTCTCATTGTTTTCAAAACCAGATTGGACTAGATGGTTGGATCGGAAAAATCGGGAACTAATCACTTGATTAGTTTCGTTTTCTTTCAAAACCATTTTTTTTTCTCAAAACTATTGATTTTGATCAACAAACCGCTGAACCGGCAGATTAACCGTTCAAACCGTTTTGACTGTTTTGACCATTTCCCTATTTTTTCCTTCAAACCAAACATAGCCTTAACGTTGCAAGTACTTATTTTGCATATCTTCTTAGTGATGGTTCATATGAGATAACTTTGATGGTTGGGGGCCAACAACTTATGCTGTTGAGAGCATTTTTAGGGTGGGCATGTTCACTTATTCATTGGACCCCGCAACAGGTTTTGCGGGACGAGGTTTCTTCCTACAGTGTTCTAGCACAGCACCACCATTGCAGAAGGAAAACCATGCTATGCATTTGGGAGCTATGATGCAGAGCTCTGTGCTTTAGTTCGAGGATTGGAAGTAGCTTCATCACAAAATATAAGTAATCTAACAGTATATTCTGACAGCAAGCAGCTAATAGATCTTTTGAACTTAATGGAAAAGCTCATGTCATCGACAGAACAACTTCACTGGGGCCGAATCAGTAAACTCAGGCTTTCATTTCACTCAATTTCTTTTGTCCATATAAATAGAGATCAAAACAAATTGGTCCACTTATTTGCTTATCTTGCTTGTAATGGCCAGATGAATATATCTTACAATCCCAACTCTCAAGGCCATGTACTCAGTTCTCACTTTTAATGAAGCTGCTTCTTTCCTTTTGCAAAAAAAAAAAAAAAAAAAAAAACAAAAAAAGCATAGTACAAATTTGCAAATACTGCAATGCTAATGGGACGGTGTTTTTTGAAATATTCGGTTTNCATAGTACAAATTTGCAAATACTGCAATGCTAATGGGACGGTGTTTTTTGAAATATTCGGTTTTACACTAACTGGATAAATGGGTTTTAAATCATGTAGACAATATGATTGATTCTGTATCTTTTGCTTATGGAGATTCAGTTAGTGTAAAATCAAAAGATTGTGGTTAATGTTCAATTTAAGTAATCTCCATTTTTGGCAAAAACTTATATAGAATTAACATTGATGGGATGTTTGCATTGATCAGAGAGGATTTTATGACTTTTTAAGTTATAATAACAATTTTATAGTGGCTGCATGCAATGTTTTAAAAAAAACCACTTTAATTGGACAATCAAGCATAAAATTATGGCTTCTAATGGCCCTGGTGGGATGGTTTTTAACCAAGTTGACATTCTTGACAAAATGCCAGATTTTAGGAGAATCAAATCCAAAATTTAAGCTGGGAAATGGCTTGAATGATTTAACTGGCCGAATCAATGAATAATTGAAAACATTGGTTGTATGTAGAAATGCAACTTGAGTGGTTATGTACGTAGTAGATGAGATTAAATGCCCAAGATAATTTTTTTTTTTTAAAGGTTGTTTAACTACATTCCAAGAAAGTGGTTTTTTTAGCTAAATGTTCCAAAAATCTTTCTGAACAGGAGCTCTGGTGGTATTATCCACCAAATTGGCTGCTTCTTGATGTTATATCTTCCTTGTTTGTTAATAAATTTATTTATGTACATGCCCCCGTCGGTTTCGAATCTTTGTTCCAGGTTTATACGGCACAGAGTTGGACGCCAAACCACGCCATTCCATCTGTCCATCACGGGTGGAAGAACATAAATGGCGGATTGGCAGCCCAAGATTTAAAAGAGACAAATCGAGACGAGACCATCACTGATTCACTGTCCATGACTCCATGAGATGGACAAGATTCCATCTATTCTAATTTCTAAATGGTAATATCATATTCTATATCAATCATTCATTATGTGCAGCGACTGGGAGCTGCTACCGGGTCCAGTATTCATCAATAATTACAGAGAGTTTGAAGATATCTCATATCTTCAATTCAGACTCCAGAGTTCAGATCGAGCGATCTGTGAGAGAGGGAAGAAAAGGAGAGAGGAGGTGGGATTGTAAATCATCTGATGGAGAAAACGTCATGGGTTTGTACCCTGGTAACGCAGGTTTGCCTCTGCTTGGCTCTCTATGGTGCCCTCAACATCGGTATGCCTCAGAGGTCCGTTTACTCGACTGCCATCAGAGGAGGGGGTAGGCCTCTTGATCTTTATTTCATCAGTGTCAGAGGAGGTTCTCGACCTCTTCAACAACAGACCCACCTTCTCAAACAGGTCAGTTTGTCCTTTTTTGTGTATGAGAATTTCCTTCTGTCTTTATTTGGGGAGGAAGAAGTCAGGAACTGGTTTGAGTATTGATTTTTTTTTTTATTTGGGTTCTTGGCCTATTGTCAATTGTTATTGGGTATGCATAATGGGTTTCTTTGTTATAATTATTTAAGAATTTGAGTGGTTTCTGCCAGCGGATTGGTTGCTTGTTATCTATGCCTGTCTCATTTAGATTGGGGTATGAAAATTTGTTGATTTTTGTTCATGTTAGTCGGTTGCGGTTCATTGTTCTCTTTGCTGTCACTTGCTCTGTCTGAAAGTTTCTATTTCCTCTTGTGAATTCGGGTCTTTCATCAGTCTCCATTGCTTCTTGGTTTCTTTAACGACTCATTGTTATTTTTATTTGGGTTCTCTATGAATGGCTTGGTTTGGTTTTTACTTCATTTCCTCTTTGTTCACTGAAATTGCTTATTCTTTCTCAGTTACTTTATTCAGTTTATCTGTTTGATTGTATGTTGGCCAGGTACTAACCTGGTGTCTCCTTTTTCCTTTTTGATGCTTATGTATGGTAGATTTTGAAGTAAGATATGGATAAATTTTGTCTCTAATTGATATGTACGTTCTACCAATTCTTGTTATTCTGAATGGACATTATTACTGTTGGTGAAGATGGAGAAAGTAGCAAGGATTTACGGTGCAAAGTTTGTAGTGAACATTAGCGAACTTGGGGAAGATGATCCACTAATGCAGAATGTGAGCTTTTATCCTACACAAACTACACCCTACTTTGGCATTACTTTTACTATTCATTGATTAATTTGCCATCATAAATTGGACCTTTTCTGAACTTTTTACCATGATATTTAAAGCGCATTTCAATGTTGTGATGCTTATTGGAAAACAGTCAGATTAAGCTTCTATATTCTATTTTTTCAGGGCACTTTGCATTTTCCATCATTGAAGGTTCCCTGGTACACATCATCCTCTCTGTGAAAAGTTCCATAATTTGGGTATACAATTGCATTACACAGGATCCTTTATCTTCTGAAAATTTGTTCTTACAAGTGTCAACCTATCATTTTTTTTCCAAGAAAAATATCTGCAACTTTCCCAATTCAACAATTTAATCATGAGGAGTAATATCTATAGGTATTCTACTAGCACTTCAAAAGGAAAGGGATACTTTCTGAAGCAGATTGCAACTCCGAGTGGGCAGATCTTAGACATCATTGTTCTGGAGACAAGTTCATTACAGGTATTAGTGCTTTTTCTTGAATTCTGGTTTTAAAGCTTTGTTGAGTATCATAAGTGGGTTTAAGAATTTATTTCTTAATAAGCTCTTTGCACTTTTGTTCTTGAAAGGTTGGTGTTATTAGATTTAATCCTCCTATTGGTTTCATTATGTGCAACTCTTAATTTCATGTTTAGCTAGCTATTATCTCTTATTAGTTGGTACCTCAGTGCATGTTGCCTGTATGCATTTTCTGTTGTTTTTTTTTTGTTTGATAAAAAAACCCACTTTGCAAAAGATTATAGGGATATATACTCGAGAGAAAGACAAAAAGAATTTACACCACACCCCACTTTACATCCAAAAGGAAAAAAAGATATCAAAATGTCCCTCCAATTGGACTGAAGATATACTAAGCCAAGCCTGTGGAGCTGTGGATAGGCCTGAGTCCAAAAACTCAAGTACCGTTCTGCCTTCTGGATCAAGACTTCCATAGGGGGAGCTTTTTGATCGAACACTCTCTGATTGCATTCTTCCCAGAGAGCTCAACAGATAACCAACAGTGCAAGTTTCCAGAGGACCTGGCCTCTCCTACTGAAGCCTGTGGCTTTCCAGGATGTAAGCAGCTCATCCAACCTGTCTTATGGGACCCATTGTCTTCCAAAGAACTGAAGGAAATGGTGCCATAGACCTGAGGCAACAAGGCAGTGAATAAATAGATGACTCACTGGCTCTCCTGCCCTGCCACACACTCAAGTAACCTCCAACACTGTGCCTCTGTGAGATAGGTTCTCTCTAGTTAGGGCCTTGTCCCATGCAACAACCAAAATGAAAGACTGCACATTCAGTGGAGCTGCTTTCTTCCAAATCCAAGCTGCTATAGCACAATTTGATTGAAAACACACCTGAACTGTTAGCACCCCACGGCCTGTGATCAGACCCTGTAGGTTGTAAACTAGTTCTATAAAGAAGGTCCATCGGCCTTGAAAAAGCTCCCACCACCCAATCAGTAAAGTTTTGTCTGAATTGGGAGCACCAAAGCACTACCGTTTCTGAGGATTCATATGAATTTTGGATGGTGGCATCCATTTTCTGTTGATATTTTTAGTACTTAATTATGAAAAACTGGTCCAATATCAGTTCCTTCTATATTTGTTGTGTATACTACATCTAGAGAAAAATATAGTTTTTGAAACAAGTAATATTGCTAAAAAAGGCTTTTCAAATTAAACATGCAATGGCTTCTTTTTTTATTATCATCCATGCCTTATCCGAACTCTATGGGGTGGCTACATGAATCCTGTTTCACCAATCGTTCTATTTAAAGCCAGATCTATTGTAAATTGTTAGTGCTCAAATCATTTCTTGTTACTTATACCCAAGGTTTAAAATTTCGATACGATACGCTCGATACGGGGCGTATCGTATCATATCTTTGAAAAACAGATACGGGATACACATGGAAATCGGACGTCTCGTCTTTTTTTCATGCGTATCGGACCCGTATTGGGGCGTATCGGGGGTGTATCAGGGCGTATCGGTAGCGTATCAATGAAAAATATACGACCAAAAACTGAAAAAAAAATAATGGGGAAAAGCAAACTTCTTTTCCTTGAAATAAGCCTTCTTTCACCCCCCAAATGACTCTAAAACTCCAAACATCATTCCTAGAGTGCTAGATTTGCAAAAAATTGCAAGAAACAAGTGTGAATCATTATTTTTTGAAAGATTTTCAAATTTTGAAAAAATATGGCAAAAATAGGTAAATTTTTTCAATTTTTTATAATATCCAGTGATTTAATTTTTTTTTTGAATGTTTAAATTTATGTTGATCTACATTTCTTACATTCAAAATCATAATTTTTTTGTGTTATTAATAAATTTATGGAAATTTCATGAAGATATTTGGGGAAAATATAAATTAATAAAAAAATTGAAAATGTAATTTTTCTCTGCCTATAAAGACTAAATATGTTTTAGATCTATGGATTTATCTATAATATCCATAGAGCAATTGAAATTTCTTCTTTAGTATTTTTTTGATTTTTTATATTTTTAGAATTAAAAAAAATAATATAATTAATTATATTTTATCATTTGATCACAGAAATTGAATATATTATAATTCTATGGATGATCTTTCATATCCACAGACCAATTGAAATTTGTTATTTAATAATTAATTTTTTATTTTTATATTTTTAGAATTAAAAAATAAATAAATAATTAATTATATTTTATCATTTGATCACAATGATTGAATATATTATAATTCTATGGATGATCTATCATATCCACAAAGCAATTGAAATTTCTTCTTTAATAACTATTTTTTGAATATATTATATAATGTATATTTATTTTTTATAATTTTTGAAAATACATTATAAATAATTATTGATTATATTTTCACTTAGAAGTTGTGCCAATGCATGTTTTATGGTTGGATAGGAGAATTGAGTTTTTCTCATCCCATAAAACATTAAAACTTAAGAATTATAATTTATATATTATAATTAAGCATAGGATTTTTAATGAAATTATAATTACCTACAATATATTTCTTCATAAAACCATTAAAATATATTAATTCAATGTATATACATCTCATTGAGGCCCATGTTAGTTTTGGTCTACCCTGAGCTCTTCTAGCCCCTTCAATCTGTAACAAATTGCTTCTTTTAATTGGTGCAGTTGGTGGTTTTCTATGCACGTGCCCAAACCATCTTAGTCTACTCTCTCTCATTTTATCACCTATTGGAACTACTCCTAGGTTCCTTTTAGTAACTTCGTTTCTAATCCTATCCTTTCTAGTTTTTCCACTCATCCATCTTAGCATTCGCATATCTGCCACATTCATTTTCAGGACATGTTGTTTTTGACTATCCAACACTCTATTCCAACTGTTTTATAGAATTTTCCTTTTAATTTAAGTGGTATTCGCCTACCACATAAAATTCCAGATGCACCCCTCCATTTTGCCTATCCTGCTCTAATTCTCTTGATGACATCCTCCTCAATCTCTCCCTTGTTATGAATTATTGAACCAAGGTACCAGAAATGATCACATTGAATTATCTCTTCTAAAGAATTTCAACAACATAGAGATTAGTGGTTAGTGCTTGTTTTCCATTGTTACAAGCAACCTATGACCTACATAAAATGATTAAAGTAAGCTTTGATAGCAATAAATTTGAAAACATGGAGAAACTGCAACATCAGATGAGGAAGTTTTTTTGTCAAAGTCTCAAAATTTTAGAAAGTGTATAATTTTGGGATCATATCTAAAACAATGTTGCAAGTGTGGACTTTAGAGAATGAAGTTTCCATTAGTGAACCATCTTATATATTAGCAATGAGAATGAATTATTTTATGTTTGATCATCTAAAGAGGCCTTGCTTCGGTCTAGTTAATCATTTCATGTGTACCTTCAGAATGTTCTGCTTTAATGGTATGCATTGCACAAGCAGGTGAGCCACAAAGCAGTGCTCTTGGCAGGATGATTTTAAGCATTCATGCTGGTTGAACTGAATGTCCCAATAATTACCATTTTTTTAGTAAGAAAATGTGGGAAAGTTTATCAATGGTGAACTTAATTACCAGAAATTATACCAGTAAAACACTGGAATACTATTCTTATGGGTTTTGGTTTTGTTCGGGAGCCTTGATTTTAGGTGGTCCTACAGATATATAGTTGTTTGCTGTACATGATGTTTACAAGGTTCATACATGTAATCTTGACTTTTGATAGCTTACCTATTACTCAAAAAAAGTTTCAAATTTGAATTTGTCCTCATGGTTTGCAATGTCATCTTAGCATGCAATTTTAATTTGGGAACTGGGGTGCCCCATGGTGAACAAGGATCAAGTATCAGTCATTCTGATGACTAAAATGTGATAAACATTGCCTCGTTTTTTCATTATGTTCTCTTTTATGGATGCAGAAAGTGGAATTTGGTTGTCAGTATCTGCATAACTTTTTATTTTCTTCCAAAAATAAGTTCCAGAGAAGAAACTTAAATGCAAATAAATAAGAACCAGCAGGGGGGAATGTTTTTTTAATGTAAACTATGATACTTGGACACCTATACATCCAGAGTAGTAGAGTTAACAGGATATGATAAATGTATGGGTAATACACCATGGTATGTTGAGCCCTCCTCAGAATAGAGGAGATAAGTTGTTTTCTTTTCTGTTTCTTTTGGTGTTGGGGGTGGGGCAAGGGTGATAAGTAAATAAATAAATAAATAAACCTATAACAATAAAGAATAATCAGTTGAGTTACTTAGATTGATAGCTGATAAGTTGTTTTTTTATCAATGATAACTGATAAGTTGTTCATAGAGGAGATGATTAGAATGGAACTAAAAAGGAAAAAGAATCATATAGGAAATGAATTCATCACTAGTATCCATATCTAGGTCCTACTTTTTCTTCCCCAATATAGAGGTACCCCTTCTCTTCCTCTTTGTTAGCTAATCTAGACTGCAAGGAATTAACACTAGCTCTAAGCAGTTCACAACAAGAGGGTAGCTCTTAAGATCAAAGGATTTTTTGAATATTCTATATCAACATTTAGTGTAGATTTAGTATCAATTTCTATTTCCTTGGTGCTTCCAAAATCACAAGTTCTGTTAGTAATGTAATTCCTTAAATTATTATTAAGAATGGATGCTTGTCTGACATGGTTTTCTCAATAGTATCTGAAGGATCTAGATAGTGTGGTTTCTTACATTTCTCCTTCCACCAGAAGAAATACTGTTTGGATTTTTTTTTTTTTTTATGTTTTTAAGGTACTGTTCTTTTTTTTTGGTTTCTTAAATTACAGTTCTTTTGTTTTTACAAATTGAATTATCACTAGGTTCATTTGCTAAAGTGAGTGATACTCTCATTAGTTCTTATAAACCCAGTATAATTTGAATTTTGAAGGATCATTTGCATATGGGAAGACCAAGCATTCCTAAGAGTAATCAACTACAATGGCTGACAAGGGTACTAGGAGTAACTGATAGTAACTGGTATGATGGTGCATCTTAATTGTCCCATGTTAATATGATTTTGTCCCAATCAAGATTTTCTCTTAGGTGAAATATCATAGAAAACAGTCCTACATTGTTTTATTCGACAAACCTACACCCTTGCCCCACCCCCAACACCAAAAGAAACAGAAAAGAAAAGTCCTCCAGTTACATACATATGTTATAACAGGTCGTCTTGCTGCCTTTTGTTTTCCTATTTTTGTTCAACCCAGGCGCATAGTTGTTGGATTCCACTCACCGGAAATTTGTGAAGAGCACAAGGAACAAATGGAAACAAATGATGTCTATGAGCCCCTACACCATATCTTTCTGAGGTTTGGAGTGGTAAGATATGAAATACCTATGTCTTTAACTTAATATATTTATAGGGAACTTCTCATATTTTATTTGTACTCTATGGTAATTAATGATTAAATATCTTCTTTTCTATCTTCTTCAGAATGCCTACCTAAGTAAGCAGGGATGCAGTAGCCACTACACACGCAAAGGGAGCATTGCTTACATCACAAACCCGGACCCTACAGATAGACCAACCAATGGAGCACCTTCTGTAAATGGAAGTTCAACCTTCCCTAAGTAAGTTTTGTCCTATTCACAAAACGGTTTTCTTACCGTACTCTATGGAAGAGCAATTTTAGTTATAATTGTTAATTCTAATGCCACAGGTGCATGCATGATGGATTCCTTCTGCATAGAGTCAGTCCTTTGGAGATTGTGGGTATCCATTGTTGTCTATTTAAGTTAGTACATTTAGTCATTTATTTTATTTAAATTCTTGTTCAATTCCTTATGTTTTAATTGAATCTTCAATGGCAGGCATCTTACTTCATTAATTCAGCAAGTGAAGTAGTATACAGGTCTACAATTCATCAAGGAGGCAAGGAGATCATGTAAATTTGGCACCAAGCAACTCAAGTGTTGCCCATCTTTTGAAACCAGGCTGTAATTCTAGCAACAATTTTTTAGTGCCATTCTTTTATTTGTTTTCTTTCTCTATCCAATATCTTTCGGTAGATGATGCTTATTGTTCATACATGGCTTCAACTGATCAGGTTGTTAGTCTCAAAATGTAGTGGTATTTGCATTTGAGATCTTTGAAAATGTTAATTAATTTATTGTCATCCTGAGTACAATTGTTGTACGATGGGAAGGAGAAAAGTGCTACAGTCTTTGCATGGTGCAAAGAAAAGGGAAATTAAGGACCTGAATTATGAGAGAGGGACAATTAAGATATGAATAAAAATTAGAAAGAGAAGTAATTATATATGGAGAGAGAGAGAGAGAGAGAGTACTGTTACCTGCAAGTAACTTAAAACAGGCTTTTCGTTCCATTAATTCATATAAAATTCCAATTTTTTTTGAAGAGTATATAAAATTCCAATTACAACAACTCTTTAGAGAAACACAGAAGATCAGAACTCCCTTCATAAACTCAATTCAACATGAAGCTGCCTGAAACTTCTAATTAAAAGTCTCCTTCAAATACAATAAGGAGCCTAAATCCCAGAACAACTTCAAATACTTAAGAGTGATCTAAAGAAATAGAAAAACTCAAATCCTATCACAGATTGACACCCTATCAATAAAATGCTGAAGTATTTCAAAACACATCACATTTACAAAACCTTGATCTTTGTTAGATGATAACTCAGTTATTTAGAGGGTATTCTCCGGTATAAATTGTTTTTCTTCTTGTGAATTCCAAAAGCAAATCAAAATATCTGGTTTGAAAACAAATTGGTTCTCAAAATGAAAGCACACAAAACATGTTTTGGATTGTATATATGCATTTGGTTTCCAAAACTCAACCAGAAATGTATTTTTTAATTTTTGGTTTGTAAAACATGTTTTCCTTCATGCTCTGTTTGGTTGCAGTGCAATTTTATTTGCACTAGTACAAATTCATGGGAGTGCAAATAAAAAAAAAAATGCAAATTCTTGTTTAATTTGGTTTTTGGGTTTTACTTTATTTTTCTTTAGATCTTGATTTACTTCATTTGTACTGCAATCAAACAAAATAAACTAAAATTTAAAACAAAAATAGATCAGAATTTACACTCAAGTCATTTGCACTACTATAGTTTTACATCAGTGAAAATTTATTTGCATTCAAACCAAACACAGCCTTATAGGCTCAGTTCGGAAGGAATACAAATACAATTATGTAGAGTGCAAAAACTTGTATTCTGTATTGTTTTGTATGTAATTTGTACTTATACTCTTTCCAAACTGAGTCTTAATAATCTTTTGTCATGTTTAACAAATCATATAATATAAAGTTTGTTTCAAAACATGAACGATTTTTTTTAACGGAACCAACTTTTTTGCTTCTCAAAACTAATACACTGGTCAAGAACATAATTTAATTTCCTTTGTTGTTATGATGGTTTCAAAAAAAATGAAACCAAAAACCATTCTTGTTGTTTTAAACTTAAGCTATCTAATAAAACTTTAAAATTTTGCAGCAAAAAATTAGAACTTTTAAATTAAAACTAATTTAACCCTTTGAAACAATTAACCATTGTTTTGGATCAACAACATAGAAAAGATTTCATTAGATTTAGATAAAAGAGGTACAAGAAGTTGTGAAGAGATACAACAGACCCGAAGGGACTAATTTATCCCAGAATATTACAAATGAGCGGCATGAGCCTAATAGACCATCTACCAAATTGTTTGTAGATCTTCTAACCCAATTGACTTAAACTATCATTTCTTTTGAAAGTCATTCCTTAAATTCCAAGATATTTTTTCTCCCTTTTTCAACCAGCTCACAGTTGTTCTTGAGTCACCTTCAATAATCAATATTTCAATTTCCAATTCTTTTGCTTACTCCACCCTAGAAATTGCTACCAAGAATTCTGATCTGTGTGTCATCACCTTGCTCAAATGAACCTAAATACAATGAGAATATGTTTCCTTTCTCATCCATTATTACCGCATTAATGCTTGATAACCCTAGATTACCCACATAGTTACCAACATAATTCATTCCAACCGCAACTTAGTGGTGACTAGATCACGGAGGCTTTTGGTCTTCTAGAGGAAGAATCAACTATTGCATCCCAAAACATGAAAAAATCGTTCACTTTGAATCTAGAGAAGAGATTCAAGGTTCTAGCCCACTGTGCCACTCTTAGGGTAATTATCTTTATCAGAGCTTCCTTTCTTCTTTCTTTTCCTTCAAAGATCCTTAGAATTCTTTCTTCCCATATTGATCATACCACTGCTATCCTTGTACATCTCCACAAAGTCCTATCCCTCCTCTTAGTGCAACTAAAAGTAGACAAGCTAAACAACCCTTCTCAACTGACATGAGGGCACCACTTACACCTAAAAAGAGAAGAAAACCATTTTCAAATACAACCAACAGAAAGGACAGGAAATTAAGAGATGAAGAGTAGTCTCGCCATTTAACTTACATTAAAAACACCAATTAGGGGACAAACACCAGTTAGGTCTTTTCCTTTGGATCATATCACAAGTGTTTATACAATCATGAAACGCTTCCCAACAAAAGGCACCAACTTTTAGTGGAATGGGACATCAAATTTCCTCCTCAGGGAAAGGAGACTAGGAAGAGGCTACAAAGGTATTGAAGAAAGACTTACAAGAGAAAAGCCCTACAGGTTAGGAGTCCATACCCTAGAATTTGTACCATCTTCCTCCATGATCATTGAATTTAACAAACTTAACAGATCTGACACACTAGATAATTCAAACTCTCTCTCAAATTCCTAGAGAAGCCAAGGTTCCAATTAAGCAGAGAGGATGAAGAGTGTTAGAAAATGACAAACCTTTAAGGCTTGAGAGGATAAAAAGGGATGGAAATATGAAACAATTAACCTTAGGCCTAAGACACTAACCAAATAGAAAATAAGCCTATAAACTCAAACTTACCAAAATTCTAATCTTCTAAAAGATAGGAAGCTGTTCCTGACTTTCTTCTCCACTTTAATCTTCCTTGGGCAAGCTGAATTTCATTAGCAATCAATCCTTCTCGCTTCAGTTAATTTTCAACCCTAGAGGAATTGAGAGGAATACAAGACGGGGGTAGCATGACCCCACAAGCCACACGAACAAATGAATCTTAGATCCCACGAAATACAATAGAAAATCTTCCACCAGTCAAAGTATTCCGCACCAGCCAATCAGCAGCTCGGTTTGCCTCCTGATATGAATGGATGAACAAGACGCCAGCAGGCAGAAACGAATACAGGTTCTATCAATCTTCGACAACATTCCTTAATATCCACGGTGGATCAACAAACTTATTTAGATTTTAGACAGTCGATGACAAACTTCGAATCTCCTTCTATCACAATAGGTAAATCCTCCACGGTGGATCAATCTCTCTTCCTGCTATGGGTGATGACTATTGAATAGAGGAAACAAATGAACCTCTTGAAATGGCCTCTAACGGTCTAACCGGAGATGGTCAGAACCATTCATAATGTTAGATGACAATAATGCCCTCCGCTCACGGTCCATGCAATGCACCGCAATGAGAAAAGGCACAGAAGGGCAAAAATGGAACCAGAATGCTTTTACAGCCCTATAAATAGGCGGCACCCTGGAAATCTTGCGTTCACTCGTTAGTTTAAGTATGAGGCTCACTCAGAGAGACGGGATGTTTCTGAGGGTGGTTGCCCCTCTCTGAAACTATTGTTTACTCCATCGGAGCCGATGATTCCATTTAAATAATCAACAACCCTCCTCTCTCTCTCTCTCTCTCTCTCCATCATCGTCATATCTTCTTTCTTCTTCTTCTTCTCTTCACTATAATAGCTGCATGTAAGGGGCTGTGATGATCTCTGTGATTAGGGTAATTTTTGCCCTTAACTCTCAGATTACGGGATGAGTCTCCGTTAATCGTGGCAGGGTAACTCGGAAGGCTTGTGGAGGATTTCTATTTTCCTCACGTGCAACCGGTGTTGCAGCCATGGCGGGGATCATCTCATTGTCTGAAAGAAGGCGAATCTGAGCCCCGCTTTTTTCCATCATTGAACTCGCTACTTTATTTTGTTTGAACTTTGAAGTTAGGGTTTGGATTCTTATCGAGAAGAGCTAGGGTTTGGACTAGAGTGGGGGAAGAACCCATTTGCAGAATCTTCAATTTATGAGTTGTTTTAGTATCTTCTGCATGCAATGCAGTTGGTCTCCGTCTACCTGCTGGGATGGTATCTATCGTCTCTATGTTTTAAGAAAGAAAAGAGAGTTTAGGGTTTTTATTTTTGATTCGAGGCAAACCTTTCTCTGGAACCGCTTTACTTCAAATCACAGGTCTCCCAAAAAGTCTTGTGTTTTGGGGCTTAAGAAATGTTTTCCCCCATGAGAAATCAGAATATTGTTTTTTAACGGTTACAACATGGATGGATGGATCTGTCTAATTAATTGTTTCTGCATGCTCTCTACTCTTGATTTCCTCCATTGGATATCGCTGCTGCTTGGGTTCATTGCTAAATTTCTGTTTAATGTGGAGAGGACCAGTGCCCTTTTGTAGACATACTTCAGGCTACCCAATTGTGTAATGTCATCAGATTGTATCAAAGCTTGCTTAATTTGTCTGTCAAAAAAAAAAAAAAAGAGCTTGCTGGATTTGTTTCTTGATTTTTTTGTTTTCTTGTTCTTTTATAGGAAAAATCTCATTAGAACGCTACAAAACAACAAAGAAAGTGCAAAAAAGAACGAAACAAGCGGGTACATTTCGAGATAGAACATGAACAGAGAGAAATCGTCCTGTCTTGGTGCCCTCATTTTTCAATTTCCACCGGGACACGGTGTGAAGCCAGTTTCTCTGGTTATTGCCTTTTGTTAATTAAACGTTAAAATAGATTATTTTAGGTTGTGTTTGGTATCGTTGGTTTTTCAATCAATCAACGTTTTTAGACTTTGCTTCTCAAAATAAGGATTTTTCATGTATGCCAAGTGTTTTGTAACTGTTTCAACAACTAGAAAATCGGCTGTTGAATTCAAAACGACTAAAGTGCTGATCTGGTGCTGATGTGGCACGATTGGCATGAAAATCGATTTTTATTATGGAGAGAATTTTGGTTAAATGTGTTTTTCATCTTAATTGGTCAAAGTAATTTACCCTTAATTTTAAAACTTTAGACAGTTG